GCCATCATCCATCAATAGGAAGGCCTGGTAGTCGTTGTCCAGAAACTGGGAGTCTTGCATGGTGTTCTTCACGTAGTACTTGGCAGGGAAACTGCCCTGAAAGCAGAAACGCCCCTGAGGCAGTGTACCAAGCTCCCCTCCCCCAGGCTCCCTCTGCCGTGCTGGTCACCTCACCTGCGGATTAATCAACTGCTGCCGGTTCTCCACCAGCCCCCAGGGGGCGATGCCGAGGGCGATCACCTTCTTTTTGGAGACGGAGGGAGCAGCTGTTGCATGGTCCCTGACCGCCTCCCCGACACACCTGCCCACTCCCTCCCTGAGCCCCCTAGTCACAATCCATGCACCTGGCACAAACAGGGACAAACAATCTCAGATCCAGTTAATTCACACCAAGCTGTGAAGAAAAGCAAAGCCGTGACAAATCCGAGAGCAACAACCACGACACCACAAAGAACCCCGGTGGCTCCCAAACTGCATCCTGCTGCAGGTCACACAGCAGAAAAAACAGAAACACACAGGGCATGCTGCATGCGGTGAGCAGCGTCTGCTCCCCCACAGGGGATTATGGAAGACTTCTCTTTGAACATAGGAGTACGATCGCAGTAAGACTGCAGACTGCTAAGCTCTCATGCTGCAGACGCTATCAAATTTCCTACAGGACGGAAAAACCGGTTTTTCTGGATTGTACACAAAAAAAGACAAAAAAAACTCTTGAACTTCTGTCATAGTTGAGTGGCAGCAGATGGAAGCTGGGAGTGTTTGTTGGTTGTGATTGTGACACTCCCTGTTTGGTGGCGGCACAGGTTCTACACCCGTAGAAGGAAACAACACACACACACACACACACACACACACACACCCACACACACACTGTAAATCAGCTCAGAAACAAATATGGAGGTCGAAACTAAAATGAGGGCCAGTTTTACGGGCTGGGGTGGGGTGGGGGAGGTGGGTTACCTGTGCTCTGTGCCGCCTTCACCAGCTCCTGTCTCAGCACTTTTCGAACCCAGGTCTTCAACTTCTCCTGACTGTCACCCCCCACCACCGACACCACCAGGTTGGGTTGGGGGATATTCCAGTGCCCTGTCAACAGCTGGTAAACCTTCTGGGGCTCGCTGTCGCTGGCCAGGCGTATGAACTGGGACAGGAAAGATGAAAACACACAGACATGCTGAGTGAGCACACAGTGATGGGGCCAGAAGGTGCAGCTCACGAGCATATGGTGAACTTGCGAATTGAATGGTCTGAAATTTGGGAAAACCTGGTTAGGAAAGTTGCTGTGATCCAGGCTCTATGTTACAGCACTATCCACCAACTCCTCAGATAAAATGATCTGGAAGGAAGAAATGCTGCTTCTCCAAGCTTCTAACTGTATCAAGCTCTCTACAATGAGATGCCAGCTCCTTAAACTATCATAATAACTCTGGGCCCATGTCAGATAGACTGCCGTCAAAGCTCGGCTATTATCCACTCTGCCGGCACCTCCCCCAGCCCCTAAGTCTTTGTGAAGGCCTTCAGACCAGGCATGGCACCACCGGGACCCTGGGGGTGGGCCCCTCCTGCACATCCGCATGGGACGTGTCGCATGGTGGATCACGTTGTGCTGCGGCATTATACAGCCATGTCTTTTCTTTTGTTATCAAGTATGCCGTGATAAGGAAATCGATGAGACCGTGGGTTAGTCAGGCATGCGGAGAGAGATAGTGAGAGAAAAGGACATGATGAGTGAGCAGCGGGCGGCAGTGGCGTTGAGGGGGCACCCACGTGGCTGATCCTCCTGCCGGCCCCAGCGAACTCCAGCTCGCCAAAGGCATCAGTGGGGAACTCGGTGGAGTGCTGTGCGCTGTCCCACTGGCTCACCATGGCCGTCCCGAAGCAGTCACCCATGGCCACAGAGTTGTGGGCCTCGTGCAGTGCCCCACACTGGCACCGTGTCCCATTGCTGTGGATCGACGGGAGGGTGAACATAGAGGGTCCAACAGGACACACAGGGTGTGTCAGCCAACAGTATCATTACCTTGAGATATCTTCTATAAAGGCTGTACACACCCTCCGTTTGAAGACTTTGGGAATCCAGCTCTGAAAAGGAGTTCATAAAGGGAGGATTACTGCCGATAAAAGCCCAGTATCTGAGTAGACACGGTCATTGCATGGTTCACAGAACTCCCACATCAGCACACATCATGAACACGCATTCTGCCTGGTCACCTGATCCTTCAGGAAGATCAGTGCCGTGGAGCAGCTTTAATATGGAGTTGGCTCACCCTTTGCAGCTATAACAGCTTCAGCTCTTCTGGGAAGACTGTCCACAAGGTTTAGGAATGTGTTCTGGGAATTTTTGACCATTCTTCCAGGAGAGCATTTGTGAGGTCAGGCACTGATATTGGACAAGAAGGCCTGGCTCGCAGTCTCCGCTCTAATTCAACCCAAAGGTAGGGTGACCAGATAATCCATGTCAGGGAGGACACTCTGAGCTAGGACAGGAATTGTAAATTACCATTTCAATTAAACGGACTTGGATTTCACTTGAGCACCAAGTTATTGCTGTGTGCTGATAATGTCAGCCTCCTATAATCATGCATGTGTCACTAATGCTAATGTGAAACAGCTGGATGAGTCTTTCAGTCAAGGAAACAAACTAGTCAAAGCACAAGAAAAGCTGAACTATTTGGGCAAGCACAGGAGCTTTGCATTGCACTTGGTGATGTAAGGCTTGGATGCACCTTGACTGCCATTAGGTATCGGGATTAAATGCTTGGACTCATCGTCAGACCCTACGCTGGTGCAGTGGGTCCTGGGTTCCTCCTGGTGCCCAACAATGCCCGGCCTCATGTGGTGAGAGTATGCAGGCAGTTCCTGGAGAATGAAGGAATGGATACCATTGACTGGCCCCCACACTCGCCTGACCTAAATCCAATAGAACACCTCTGGGACATTATGTTTCGGTCCATCTGGAGCCACCAGGTTGCACCTCAGACTGTCCAGGAGCTCAGTGATGCCCTGGCCCAGATCTGGGAGGAGATCCCCCAGGACACCATCCTTGTCTCATTAGGAGCAGCCCCAACGTTGTCAGGCATGCATACAAGCATGTGGGGGCCATATAAACAACTAAGCATGATTTTAAGTTGCTGCAGTGAAATTTCAGAAAAATGGACCAGCCTGCATCATTTTTTCACTTCGATTTTCGGGGTGTCTTTGACTTCAGCCCTCTGTAGGTTGATAATTTTCATTTCCGTCAAACAATGTGGCATCCTTTCATTCCTAACACATTACCCAGTCCATATCAGTATAGATATACAGCATGATTATTTTTCCCATTGAGATCTGATGTGTTTTCAAAGTGTCCCTTAAATTTTTTTAACACTGCAGATCTTAAAGAGTCTGTAGGGTTTGCAAACTACCCAGCGCTTTTATGTAACAAACTTTAGGTTTATAGTGGAATAATATAGATTTTCCGTAAGATTCCTTGCCTGCACGTGAGGCTGAAAGCGTGAGTCACGCTAGATGCGTAAGAGTTGGCCACGCTGGCTGCACAGTGCCTTTTGCTGGTCTACCTCATAGTGTCTACACAGTCTACACATGTGCTTCTTAATGAGTACATTGTGTCATGTGGGAGCAGAGATTAGCCAGTCCGGAGTGTACACACAACAGCCGGGGCCGAGATGTTTACACAGATCGACACTGCCCAAAGGAGGGAGACTGAACAGAATGATCCCCAAGTCATCTGACCCCCAGCTCGCGATAAATCACTTTCCCGCCACCTCCTCTGCACGCCATGACGCGACACTCTCTTAATGCTGAGTACACCACTCATCTGTACTATTTGCACTCCCAGCAACAAGAAACATAATTATTTAGCTTGATCCTACTCGGATGCTGCATTTCAAGTACTTTAATTGTTACATGAGGTTTACGATGCCGTAATGACAATATGTATTAATAAATCTCAGTTCCCCCGGCAGTGACCCCGTACTGTGCCAGGTAACCAAACCAACGCTGATAGTGCTCACAATTAGGTTCTCTAGTTCCTGGGGCGGTCTAAGCGGTGCCTGTCGCGACATGCCTTGTCCTTCGGGCAGTTTTACAGCGGCACTGGAATTCAAGTTGTGACAAAGTTTCCAGACCTCGGAAATGCTGCGACCCGAACCGGTACAGACGACAATGCGAATCCGCTCTTCATTCAGTCAATATTCCGCCTCTCCCAGACGGATTAAATTCGGAGTCACTCCTGTATTAAACGCGCCGATAAAACAGCACAGTAACCGTGACCTAAACAGACCCTTACCTGATCCTTCTGGCTTTTCCTCATCCCCCCTCTTCCTCCGGTGACTTCTTTGTCTTTCTCTACAGTCTTCCCCATTTCTCTTTTAATCAGCAGAAGCCCGTGCCCCCTCCCGGTGCACGTATATCAGGAAAAATACACAGTCGTCTGCTTCAAACGGTGTATGCAACACACAGTGAAAGCGTCCCGGAAAGAGCCTGCCTTGTCGGGTTGTTGCAGGGAAGCTCACCCGGCTGCCGGAATGGCGCCACTGCCGAGGTGGTGTTCAAATGATAGACAGGGCGGGGAACAAGTTGGGCGTGCCGGACCACTGTGACAGGTAACATGTTCTCCAGTTCCTGGATACACGAACACAGGTGGTGAACTGCAG